ATAAGAAACAAATCGAGAACAAAACAGAAATGGTGATCCTGGTGGCAACAAGTAGCTTTTTTTACAAATATATTTGTATGCAAGTATTGATATATTGAGAAAATATTTAATACATGCTTATATTCTATATTTTTTAAATAAAACAATGCGTATGCTTGCATATGTCTATATAATTACACACATACTTTTCTACACGCTCGTATGCATATAAATATAAATATAAATATAAATATATATATATATATATATATATGTATATATGTATATATGTATATATATATATACACACATACAATGAAAAAAAAATGGTAAATTCATTATAAATGAACAGTATAAGTGATGATTTATTATCAAAAAAGAAAAAAAAAAATTATACTTGAAACATTTATGAATGCATCAGTCTCTTAGTTAATATTATATAAATACTTTGGAATATTTTGAAAATGAAAAATTCTATTAACTAAAGGACTAAAAATATAAATGATTCAAGATACTAACATTATCGTTCACCTGATAATTATATGAATATGAAATTTTTTAATAAATTTACTAGTAATATTATTTGATTATTATTTTAAAGTAAGTAAACTAATACTAGAGTTTTAATATCATTTGTTAAAATTAATTTTGAATTAAGTAGTTCATGAGAAAATTATTGATTTTCAAAATAAATACGACATGCGAATTTATACAAATATCATTTAATTTATAAAATTGAAAAATTATTTCGTAAGATTTTTTCTTAATTCTCGTTTTATTTATTTATAGCATTTTGAAATAACGACGATTGTTAAAACTACCAATAATATTTTTATATTTATTCTATAAGAAATATATAAGGTATAATAAAAAAAGTTAAAAAATTAACAAAGCATTTTTTAAATATTCACAACAATATATCTATTTTCATTAGTTTGTCTTCTAGCTACGGAAATGTACATTGAAATATTTTGCATTATTATTATGTGGAATGTAACAATCCATTGGTAGTAGTTTAGTACATTTTTTATAAATTTATACATAAATTAAAGATTATAATATGTTTCATGTTTGAACGCTAATTTCATACAGAAATTAATAAAAGATAAATTATTTACAAATTACAAATTCTTTCAAAAACAATTATTTGTGTAAATATTTTAGAAATATAAGTATAATTAATAATTAAAAATATTTTATCAATTAACAATTAAATATGTGATTTCTAATTTTTGTTCATGTAATACATGTTAAAATATTTAAACTTTTATACAATGTAGTAATAATTATTGAAAAATGAATAAATTAATTTAAAAGATTGGTATATAATTATCGATTTTAGCACGGTGTTTCTGAGCTACACACTCTGAAATCCAAACAATATTACGACATTCTTGTTCTTTAAGTTTTAAATAACTGTAAAATACACCAAAATGAAACTGTTGAAGGAAAGCATTTACATTTAGACGAACCTAAAAAAAAAGATTATTTATTAATTATTAATAAGCTTATAAACTTTTAGCTATTCTATTGACATTTAAGTAAATATTGCCATTACCTCACGTTCAAAAAATTTGTCTTCCAATGTTTTATCTCCAGGATTGTTTCCTGCTCCATCAAAAAGAGCTGCATATTCCTGTTATAATATCATTTGTTTTAATTGCAATGTTACAAATAAATAATAATCAAGAAAATGTATCGAATTAGGTAAAATATGGATAATTGTAAAAATTCAAATTATCTTCTAATAAAATTTCTAATATTAAATAGGAGTATAATAATAATATCTAATATTAAATAAAAGAAAATTATAATTACGAAATGAAACAGAAATATTGTAAATTTTATGCGTAATTAATTCTTTTGTATCAAGTTTAAAATCCATACAAACTTAAATTTTCAAAATGATCAAAACGATTACATTTAAGTTAGCAATAACTATTTAATTACCGCATAATATTCAGCAACAGCTTTAACCTGTTCGTAATCATCAGCTCTTGCCAAAGCTGCTAAACCATCAGGATTAAGACGACCACAACGGGGATATAATTTTGCTCGATCATCTTTTCCTAATTCTGTACCAAATGAATTAATTGTAATAATAATAGCTCTTCTATCTGCTTCAAACTACAAAATTTAATATTATATTAGAATAATTTAATATGTTAGATATTGATCTAAATCTCATACTTAATGAAAACATTGAAAACATATTGTACAGTAAGAAGATTAATAAAATTGACCCAATAACATAAAAAAATATAAAAGAAATGGGTTCATATTAATATAATAATATAGTTACTTACAGCCAAAATTTCACACATAGTATCAGCAGTCGTACCACCAATTTCTTTACAAAATTTAAAAAATGCTTCTAAATAAGCTTTATACAGTGTATTTCTAATAATTTCAATATTCATTTCATCTAGATCTTGTTCAGAAATACAATCAACAAAGAAGGGTGCTAAAATCAAAATATAAATAATTTTGGTGATTATATATTAAAGTTATATAACTGCAATATATACCAAGTGGTGTGTCAACTAAAACAGCATTGTATAACTCAGCAGGTGTTGCTGCAACATGAATTGCTTCCATCTGTTCAAAACTGCCAAGAGGATGGCATTTTGGAATTAATTCTGAAATGGGGCGTTGATGCAGTGTTCCAGTGATAAGCAAAATAATATTATCGATCATATAACTATATGTAATAAAATCTAAGAATTGAGATAAAGGTTCTACTGAGTGATTTCGCATATGTTGAAATTCTACCACCAATTTTTCCCTTAACTTATCATCAATCACACTGACTGAGAGAGGCGATGGTTCATTAGCCAAAAAACTACCATAATCCGTTCCAGCTAAATGCAGCTTTAAATCTATAAAATTAATATACATGTCCCCATTAACAAATAAATGTAAAAATTTTTTTTAATAAAAATACTACCTTCTAGTGTTTCACATTGTACTAGATTGAGATAATCACTCTGCTGAAGAATTCCACACTTAAATCCGCGACAGAGTCCTTCTAAATATCCACCATCAATGTTAAACATACAACCTTTCATTTTTAGATTTTCGTAAAATTAATTTCCGTCGAAAATTTCAATGTTAATTTCAATCTCTAAAAATACTGAAGACTCGCCCAGTTTTCTATCTTTATTATTGTGTTTTCCAATCTAAATTGGAGTCAGGAGTTGATCATATGACTTGACTTGAACATAAAAACTGAAGTTTGTCACTTATTGAATCGTTCATAGCAGACGCTTTTTAAAAAAGTATATAAAATTGTAATAATATCGATAAGTATAGAGATATTACACATTAAATACATTATTTAATGCTAATTTACTATTTTACAAATAAAACCACGGATATTCAATTAACGAAATTAGAGACAATAAATTCAATTTCAAAGAATATACAAAAATTTAATCACATTTTTAGGAAATATAATATTTCTTCGAATAAGCTACATTCATTTATATATACAAATATAAAAAATAATTATGTTGCAACAAAAGCTTAAACAAACTGAAGTGGTCTCGAGTTATATATCGACTATAAAATATTTACAATTTATGCATAGTCTAAAATCATTTTAAAAAAGATTGCAAGTTAAAATCAAAGAATTAGATTTATACGAGTACAGGATAAAACTTTGAATGTCGTCTTACAATCATAAAATTGTTATAGATATCTGCTACTAAATTGAATATGTGCTTTAAATATATATTAACAGAATTTATAGTAATATACCAATAATTAGGAATTTAGTAGTTACCGTTTTGTTTGGAATTCCAGCCCACAGTATGATCACAGATCACGGTAGGTGTATTAGACCGTACCGCCGATTTAATGATGATAGGGGGGGGGGGGGTTAATGCATCAACTCAGAGTAAATACAATTTGTTTTAGTGACCTTTATTTAAGTAGTTATTACAGTATTGTAGGTGTTCTTTATTATAGTGAGAATTGTGGAATGTAATGACTAGGCAGTTGATTATTAAGTTGAAACATCGTTTGGGAGTGTAAGCTTTGTTAGGTAACAATTCCGGGTGTTATTTTATAGTCATGTGTCGTGTGAGTCGCGCTTAAATTATATTGGGCATTAGTTGGCTCCCGGAATTTTGACGCTTACGGCAATACTAGAATAGTATCGAGCGAGCTTCGGCTCGCGACTGATTAGACGCTTGACTCGACTTGGGAATTGACAGACTGATATTCGGCTTATGTCGGTGGTGGGGATTCTTACTAATCTGTCGCCCTCTTTGTGGTTTTATCAGAACCAATTTATTGTGGTGTGACCGGTAATGTCTCGTAGTACTAATTGATATTTAGGTAGGGGTCTACTATCGGGATTAGCGCCCCCTCTTGCTTGTCTCAAGTCGGAGGGTTTTTAGGCCGGGCTCTATCGATAATTATGATAGATATGGGCCGGGTTGCGACCCCGAGAATTAGGGGAGGATTTGCGACAATGTAAATAATATTGATAGCTGGCCAGCAGTAATAACATTTGAAGAGTAATAATAATAATATACTTTGCAGGGATTCCTTCAGATAAGTTCAACTTTCACAAATATTACTGACACTAGTTTTATGTTGCTTCTTAAAAACGATTGCGTACATTTAGTGTTATGAATTCTTGGTGGCTTTGATGAATTCTCTGGAAGCAAGCGTTGCCAACTTCGAGAAGCTTTCTTTGTTTTAAATTATGGAAATCACGCACGTACGCACCAACTCACGCTCCACCTCGCAAGCGCGGACGCATACATGCATACGCACACGCGCCAAACCAAATGATATAGAATAAAAAAAAATGTATGAAAAAAATATTAAAACATATTATTTATAGTACCAATGAGCCAATTTATATGAATGAGTGAATACGCTATGGAATCGATATACACAAAACAACTTTTTTATATGAAAATTTCATTTTCATTTACCATAATTTCTATTGGGGAAAATGGTTTTTAGGCTTCATAATGAAATTGAGCCACTTTACTATAAAAACGATGATGTTATCCCCTGATACGTTGTGGTTCACCATAGGCTCGCATAAATAACCTCATCTGCGCCAACGCACGCAGTTACGCATCAGCTCATACTCTAATGCGCAAGCTTCGGAAATCACGCGCATATGCACCAACTAACGCTCTAAAACGCAAGCGCGGGCGCATTCATACACACGCACACGAATTAATCCAAATAATAAACAATATAAAAACAATACATGAAAAAAATAGTAAAAACTTAATATTTATCGTGTTAACGAGTCTATGTATATATATGAGTGAATACGCTATGGAATCGATTTATATAAAACAACTTTTTATATGAAAATTTCATTTTCAATGTCCATAAATTTTATTGGAGAAAATTGTTTTTGGGCTTCATTATAAACTTAAGCTCCTTTACTATAAAAACAATGAACGTATCCCATAATACATTGAGGCTCTCGATACGCTCACTTAAATAAACTCATCCGCCCCAACCTACGCAAGTACGCATCATCTTACACTCTACTGCGCAAGCGCCGGAAACCATGCACGTACGCACCAAAACACGCTCTAGCGCACATGCACGGCCGCGTACACACGCACGCACAAGCATGAATCCAAATGATATATAATAAAAAACAATGTATGAAAAAAATATTAAAAACGTGTTATCTATAGGGCTAATGGAGTATATGTCTATAATGAGTGAATACGCTATGGCATCGATTTTTATAAAACAACTTTTTACATGAAAATTTCATTTTCATTACCATAATTTCTATTGGGGAAATTTATTTTGGTGCTTCATAATTACATTGTACCACTTTACCGTAAAAATTATGCACTTCTCCCTTAATACATTGAGGCTATCAATAGGATCACTTAAATAAATTCATCCACCACAACATACGCAAGTACACAACATCTCACACTCTACAGCGCAAGCGCCGGAAACCATGCACGCATACAACGACTCACACTCTATAGTGCAAGCGCCGGAAATCACGCACGAACGTACCAACTCACACCCTATCGCGGAAGCGCGGCCGCGTACCCATACACGCACAAGCATCAATCCAAATGATAGAAAATCGAAAAACAATGTATAAAAAAAAAA